TGCGACTACTTGCTTTAAGTAGTATTTCACATAGACTTAACCACAATAAATGTGCGTCGCTTTGTCAGACAGCTCGAAGTGTAAGGTACGATCGTAAGCCTACTACTGCTACTTTTTACAATTAATGTAGAGGTGTGTGATAGAAATGGTGATAGGTAGAAAGAACCAAAGCAGATTTACACGCTATAAACTAAATTCTCACATCATATAGTCGGTGTGACTAAGCATCTCAATTTATGCACGGTGGGGAAAGTCCTGTTAAAGATGGAAAAGTTCAAGGCAACTCACTTTACATCGGGTACCTCCGCTAGTCACTTTCATAAATGTTCTTCGGAGTGAAATTTGATTATAAGTATCAACAACTAAAGGGCAAACGTTTACTGCGTTTTAATGGTTCTGAATATGTAACTGAAAAAACAATGTCTCATGTCGAATGAATTTCCTAAACCTTCATGCAACTCAACTCAAGCTACTTACAGCCAGTGTACTATTATTTACTTTGTGGTTATTGTTCAATTATCTAGGAAAATTCAATAGTATATCAATGCGACGAAATGTCGATCGATGAAAAATCTTTTGATGATTTGTCGTTACCTCATTTTTTTGTCTATCTTTGCATGAGTGAGGTTTTTCTGTAAAATGAAATCTAAATTTTTCGAGAGATGATATTCTTGAAGAAGGGTTTTTTCATCTGTAGCATACATTAGAGTCCTGATTATGAATTTTTAAGCAATTTTCTACTCCGTTTTTTCGAATTCTCAAATTCGTCATAGTTTTATATAATTCAATATTGAAATACTATTATTTCAGAAATCCGATAATAATACTGAAACAGATCAGCTTGAGTTTAAAATTGATTTACCATGTTCACAATATTTGAAAAAAACATCGATTGATTCGTACGTATAACAGTTTATAATCTTTAATTACTGTCTAAATACATTTTGTTTCCTTATAGAACAGCATTTGCCAGTCTATTGAGTAATACCGAAACATCATTATTAACAAGTAAATACAGTATGAAAATAGCTTCTAGTCATGATTTAGACTTGTTAACAAATTATATATGTCAAACATATCGATTTACAGGTAAATCTCGGACCGTTGTATGAACCTATTCATTTTTTGTTGGTTTTTTCTGTTTTTTAGTTGTCGATAAAATAGGAAATGCAGCATCACTCTATAGTGAATCAATTCTTGGACATCCAGTGGCAATTTTGTTAAAAAAACCAGTAAGTTCTAATGAATATTATAATTTCTTAAATTTTTATAACCGATACTCAAGTTTTATCATTATTTAATTGATTGTTTAGGAATCTCAGACGACGTCAATAAATGTTGATGGAAAATCGAGTGAATCACATTTTTTATCAAATTTAATGGAAGAAATAAAACAGTTCATAGAGAATAACTAACGTCCATGAAACTTTATCATTATTTAATGTTGTTGTTATTTTAATTTTTTACTCTAATTTTTAACTTTTCATGTTATATGCATATGTTTATCTAATCACATTCCATTACTGTTTATCATGTACTTGTGTTTTATTCATTCTTGTTGGTCAACTGAAATGGGAAGAAGTTATGGCTAAACTCACGACAACAATGAAAATATTCCTAAATTCATATATATTAGTTTTTTTCTCGTTATCGATAGACAATGTGTGTGTGTGTGTGTGTGTGTAAACAGTGATTTTTTTTGTCTCTTCTGTGCCATATATGTGTATGTACATAGATTTATCTAACATATTGTTTTTTCGCAAGGAGTTTCAGAATTAACAAGCTAGAGGAGACTGTCCTACCTCATACACACATTGTATCTTAATCCTCTAAAAAATAAATAGATTCTCTCACTTTCTCTTTATCCATTGATTATAGTCAATTTTTGTCTTTTTTCTCCTTTTATATATAAAAACATATATCACAAATAGTTGATGGATGTTTAGTCAATGATCTTTGTTTCTCGAGTTTATGTAGTCATGAAATTGGGATGTAACGTTCTTTACTTTTCATTTTAAAATTGAGATATAAAAGTTAAATCAAGTTAAATCATATGTCTCGTCGTTCGACGTAGATTTAACAAAAAAATACAGGTGTCTAAAATGCAGATCTGTCTCTGCTCGTAAGATTTGTCATTATTTTTAAGTTCAAATTCATTGGAAATATTTCCCAAATTAATTCCATGTTCTATGTGATTATGTTTTTAAACTGAAAGATGAAAATTTAGAAATTATTTTTATCCCATACATGTGACCAGCATGAAACAAGTGATGTACATTTTCTAATTTTAGATAAAAGCCATGATAAATTTAACCAGTTCCAGTGGCAATGATGGTGCTCATCAACAAATGCGAAAAACTGTAGAACAATTACGTTTTGAGGTTAATGTACATCGAGAACGAGCATCTTCTACATTAAATGATTTAATTAAATTTTGTCAAGCACATGCACCAGCTGATTATTTAATTGTCGGTTTTCAACATAAAGAACAAAATCCATGGAAAGAACGACGTATGTGTTCGGTTATTTAAAATGCCACCATGATCTATTATAACGAACAAATTTTCATCAAGAATGATCTGATTTAATGTAGATGATAATTTTTAACTGTGTCTAGTATTACTTGTATTCTTTTTAATTCGTCATGTGTTTCTTTTTTTTTGCGGTAAAGCAAAATGATATCATGTTAATAAAGAGTATGACCATTACTGTATAATAGATTATAAATCTAAGTTAGAATCTTTGAGATTCTCTTTATAACGTTATTATTTTATGGCAAAACTGGTGAATATGAAAAAACGACCGTTCACATCACATTCAGTTTGACCGATACACACTCTCACGTTTTTGCAGCCGTTCTTCGATATTATGATTTGACTGAACGGACGTTAGATTTGATTATGCGAAACCAGCAAGTTCATAGTTCAGAAGAAACAAGAATTGGAAAGACGTCGATTTTGTGCTGGTTGATGAAATGGTACAATAAAGCATTAGAATTCTCAGCAAAATAAGATCGCTCCCGGCTGACTATAATACTTTTTCGCCGGAATATTTCAGTAATTTTCACGTCCTTTGTAACCATGTGTAAATCGACTGCCGTTGCGTGCCTCAGCAATGCCTCACGTCCAAGTCAGTAGTTTAAAATAAAATCTGGCCGTTTAACAAAAGATTTCATCTAATTTTAAACAGTACAATAACTTTAAAATGTATTAGAATGTATTTCAGGCTTGTTTTTGTACTGATCACATTTTCTGGTATCTTTGGCCTTTTTTACGGATATTTTTGAATATTTCCCTCGACTTTAGTCTAGGATCTTACAAAATGGTTGTCTGTGTGTCTGTCTGGGGCCAGTTTCATCAAAAACTTAAGTTCTTTGATGAAACTGGCCCTGTGCGCAAAATACGGAATAATGGCTGCCAGATATTCCATGGATACACCAGTCACAAGAGTGAAAAAGAAAAATTCCTTTTTAACCACGGGAGAGAAAATGTTTGAAGAGATGACCTGAAATATCTACGGATGCAAAGAGAAAAAAAGCTAAGCAAACCTTTTCTGTAGTTCGGCGATAAATGTCGCCGGAAATCAGTGAATTTTGATAACACAAAAAAAGTCATCTACGGATAATAAAACTTATCATTATAGAATATAGACAGTCTATCATAGCGAATAGATTAGGAATGTGACCGAAGCTAGGCGTGAGCATTGTCTTGAAATATGTTTAGACCTCTGAAGATCTTCGGAGAGTTTCGAGCAACCTTTTCAGATTTACATTAAATTACCCAGCTTGCACATCAAATCACAGAAAAATTCAAAACATATTTTAGATAGTCCCAAGCACACACACCGATCGAAGGGAGGTGTTCGCAATTTCTCGGATTTAAAGTCGTGGAAGGACGTTTGCAGATATAAGTTCCTAAAACCAAGGGACCAAGCGAGTGCAGACGAGCGGATATGCGTTATTTGTTATTATTTTGTTATTAATACTAAAGATTTCTCAACCAATGGGCTAGGTTGTAATGGCTGTGTGGGTTTTTAGAGCAGTAACTTTAGCATTGACCTGTATTCTAGTGAACTGGAGCATATTTAATAGTGGCATCCAAATTTGTGCTAATTGTTTTGCATATATAACTACACTATAGTTGATCCTCTATTCTTTGTCCTTCTGATTGGCTGGATTATCCACGTAATACCGTTAGCCAGTTTTCCAGGTTTTCCAGTAGTATAAGTAAGTTTTTGGACCCTTTCTTTACGATCAGAAGTATAAAAGAAGGAATTTGAAATTGAATGACTAATGACCAAAAAAGTGTGACTTGTATGATAAGTCGTCATCTATCTTGTTGTTAAGAAAAATTTGAAGACCATAAATGATGGCGTAATTATTTTGTTAGTTTTGTTCGTATTTCCGTCTTGAAATTCTATAAAAACTGAACCGAACATTTCTCTCAAGAAAGTCCAATGGTTTTTATGAGAATATGTCAACGTAACTTCTTTAGTTAACCACAATTACCCTTATTGCTTCCACTACACGTCAGTTGTTGTTTATGATTAACTTCGATTCAGCTTGTTGGTCTTTAGCAGTTGTAATTATAATAGACGCGATTTTGTTATTTCTCTATGTCTTTTGTTAGTATGAAGCTATTCTCGCATAAATAAAGAGAACTCTGGCTGGAACTACATGGCTGTTATTACTGACTTTTCACAAATGAGCGGAAAAACAGCTAAATACTTTCTACTGCTCAAGAAACACCGTTTTTTTATCTCTTCCTATTGACTTACTTTTTGGATACGGGCTCGAATTTTTTTTCTTATTTTGTTAGATGAAACAGGAAATGTGAATATTTTGAGAACAATCGAAAGGATCATTTATTGAAATGGTTGCGGAATTTCTCGAGTTTAGTCATTTGCGGTACTTTTTTACATGATTCAATCATTTGTTTGTGTGTGTACTAACTTGACCAGTACCAGAGTCTCGGCTCTGAATAATATCTAAGAGAAATGAAGTCAAAAACATGATAACTCACTCGTTGTATCATTAGAAAGAAATTTGAAGCGTATTGTAAGCGAATACTGATCATCATGAAACAAACAATATTTCATCAGTATTGACATTTTTTCGATGCCTATCGTCCCTCTTTTTAGCGTTCCTAGTCATCAAGCCATCTGGATACACATAATAGAATGATAGCTTCGGGTAGTTTTTGAATCGAAAACATCACAAGCAAATTATACTACGGGATTTTCCTAACATATTCCGGATAATGGTAATTGTTTAAATTGATTTATGCGAAGAGCCGTTTTCCTCATACTAATAAATGTTTATACGTCTAACACTTCAGCCTGCAGGTCGAAATCTGTTAATGCTAAATATTTTTATTTATTTTTAACTATTATGTTATCTGCTCTGTCATTCATTGTTATAGATGACAAACTCATCAGCTGATGCTAAATTTGGAGAAGCTCTTCCATTGTATGAAAAATTAAAAAATGAATGGAATCGAAAACCGCCAAATTTAGAAAAATGTGATGAATTACTACGAGCCTTGAAGGTAAGCAAGAAATTCATTCATTCATTGAGAGATATCTTTGCATAAGTTGTTTTGTAGAGATCTTGAAGATATTTTGTACTTTATTCTCATTTTTTATTTTAAGAATGTATTTGCTGAGGGTGGTTTTTACCCTTCTGATATTAATGAAGACTCACGAGGTTTACATATTGCACGTAAGTTATTATTGTCGTGTAGTGGGAACAAAAATGATCTACTCAACTCGTTTTAGGTGATACATTAGAAATTGGTGCACAGTGTGCTATAACAATGGGCGATATTCCTGCATTTGAACGTTCATTAGCACAATTAAAACCATTTTATTTTGATCTTGAGTGAGTATTGTGTTTGTAAAACAAGGGCACTAAACTGTGGAAGAGCTATCTTCCCTTCACTATGAGTTCTACGCTTGAGTTTTCGGCATTTAGTATTGTTCAGTAGAAAAGTATAACAAATTTTTATCATCCCGAAATACGCATTTTAGTTTACTTATCTTTCCTCATTTCCATTTTTTATTTTAGAAATCGTTTACCCGAATCACCGTATCGTTATCAATTACTTGGTTTGAATCTTTTGTGTTTATTATCTCAAAATCGCCTAGCCGAATTTCATACAGTAAGTACAAATAGAATGGATTCACCAGTAATATAACTGAAGAAAAGTCGTCAAATACGTAAGTTAATTTATCGCGTTCTTTGTTATCATTGATAAAAAAGAACGCGGTGGGTCCATTAAATGAGAAAAGTGGTTGTATCCCGATATGATGATATCGTTTTTCTTTAAATATATTCTCTGATTCTTGTTTATGTCTCATTGAGGAACTTGAATTATTACCACCAAAAGATATACAAAACAATCTTTATTTGAAACATCCAGTATCATTGGAACAATATTTAATGGAAGGGAGTTATAACAAGGTAAGTAAACAGTAAAATATAGTAGAATTCTAATGAGTTCAAGCTTAGTTATTAAAGAGAAAACATCAAATTTATTGTTACATTGTGTCAGTTATTTCCTGGTTGCATTTTGTTTAAAAAATATCGACAAAATACTTTTTCGATTAAATATAATTATAATTTATTTGATTTATTTCTATTAGATATTCTTAGCCAAAGGTAATGTTCCATCGCCATTATTTACTTTTTTTATGGACATTTTGCTACATACAATACGGTAGGTTAAAGAAACATGTTAACAATTTTTTATTTTAAATTTTTTATTTGTTTATGTTTTAGAGATGAAATCGCTTATTGTATGGAAAAGTCTTATACACGAATCCCATTTGATGAAGCTGGAAGAATTTTATATTTAACCAAAGCAGATGAATTAAATCAAATTGCACAAAAAGTAGGACAATGTTTGATGCTATTGTGATTTGTACACATGAACGGGTGGTGAGTCAAAAATAATGATCCGCGTAGTATTTTGCTTATCTCTGCATTCATTAAGTTGTTTGAACTGATTGTTTTTGTAAATAATTCTCCGTTTAATTCTCTACAGAATCATATTGGACATCTTTTTATGTACCGTAAAAGTAAAAGAATATAGATGAAATACTGCATAGCTTCAATCTCGATTATTTTGCAGCTCAAAAAACAATGAAGGCTGAACACAGTCCCATGCATCAAAATGGAATTATAATGTATGTTCTGGTGCCCAAAGTGTCGTTTTTCTTTTCGTGAGTCACTGTGGTTCACTGTGAACGTGTTTATTTGGCTACAAAAACGATTTTATTAAAATTTACCAAAAAAAGAAAAGTTTTCACCTTTTCGCCTTGTCACTGAAAAATAATGGAGCTATCGAACTTTCTCTGTTCGGATGTAACGAAAGAATTATTTTGACCTCAAAATATTTGATTTTGATCGATTTATAAAAATCTCCTAGATGTACTGTACTAAACTGTAGTTTGAAAACGGTAACATTTTTTGTAAAACCACTAAAACAAAAAAATTCTCTCACAATCATTTGCAATTATGGAAAGGTTTAAAGATAACCGATTAATAGCGCTTTTTATCTGCTGCAAAATGATTATCTTCTCTCATGCTATATCGCAAAATATGAGGGACAAGAATTGAAAACCTGTGTTTTGGGTTAGAAAGTGATAAAGAATGACGCTTCGCAGTATTTCATTTATATTATTTTACTTTTAAATAAAAGGATGTTCAATATGATTTCTGTAGAGAATTAAGTGGAGAATTATTTACAAAAGCAATCAACTCATTCAAAGAACTTAATGATTGCAGAGATAAGCAAAATACTGAGAGGGTTATTATTTCTGTTTCATCCATTATTCTTGTTCTGTCCGATCAATTATTTCAACGTCTTATTTCTTGCAGCACGGTTGGCAATTACAAAGTAATAATTCGTATCATTTTGGTGAAAGTCAATCTAAATTTGATAATGAGCATGTTCCAGCCGATGATATAGCCACACAAATGATACAATATGCAAGAGAAATGGAAATTATTATTTAATTTTGATCTCTATTTTGACAAAAACTTTATTCGACTTTTGCTTGTTTTTTTTTGTTATGTAAACGAGGAAATGAAAACAGGATGTTTTTCTCTTTAATTTTTCTTTTTTTTTGTTTCCTAGGCGAATTAATAACTCAACACAGAAAGGAACTTATCCGACATGATAATCCTAGTGGTTTACTTTTACCTAAGGTCGGTAAATATGAACAGAAAAAACGCCGGAAGAACACAAATTTGAAACAAGATTCACATGATCATTAAAAAAACTAAAAAAATGAATAATTGAAAAAACTGACAGAAATACAACTCATCAGCAGAATAGAGAGATACAGAAATATTCAAATATTGTTGAATAGTTCAGATTTACAGACATAGTTTAACATACATTTCGATGAGAAATGAAGGGGAGACAGACACGAGTAATCTGAAGATCATCTCATTGAGTATCAAGTACACAGCTGTCTGAGGTATAGTCAGAGTTTCTAGAAATGATTCGAGCACCTAGACGTTGAACGGCACCAGGAAGTTCGAAATGTAATAAGAAATCAGAATCATAGAAGGTGGAACAATAGTCACTCTTAGCTACTACTCAAATGTTGCACAAAAGTTACAAGACTAGAAACATCATGAATAACGCCGTTTATCTCATGTGGAATTTTGCGATAAGACAGAGCCACCTTAGTAACATGAACAGACCGCTTAAGGGTATCCTCACCCATCTTGAAAACCGAGGAAGCTCATGTTTGATCCGGGTCAAGTTTATACCGGAGATAGAACATCGAAGAAGAAAATCCATATATTTTTGTCCAGAATTTTCTGACATGTTCTTCTATGAGTTTTCTGGAAAACTCTAGTTTTTCACCAGGCACATTATGACCCCTCGAAAAACTGGTTCGATCGAGGTGGAAATTTTACTTCACATACTTTGCACCCTATCTTAGGTTCATTTTTTTCTTTTCAAAAAATATGCTTTTCTTGTCCAGATATCCGAAAAATGCTGAAAGTCACGCAAAAAAACTGAGTTTCTTTTCTCAAATGCTGAAAAGCAGAAAAACAACTCACGTTTTTTGCGTGACTTTCAGCATTTTTCGGATATCTGGAGAAGAAAAGCATATTTTTTGAAAAGAAAAAAATGAACCTAAGATAGGGTGCAAAGTATGTGGAGTAAAATTTCCACCTCGATCGAACCAGTTTTTCGAGGGGTCATAATGTGACCTGATGAAAACTAGAGTTTTCCGGAAAATTTATAGAAGAACATGTCAGAAAATTCTGGACAAAAATACATGGATTTTCTTCTTCGATGTTCTATCTCTGGTATAAGCTTGACCTCGATCAAACATCGGCTTCCCCGATTTTCAAGAGGGTCAAAAATAGGAGGGAGAATACCCTTAAGATTACAAGTATCTACAAGTGCCGAGTATTGATCCATGAGATACAATCGTGCAATAAATTAATAGTTCATCCCTGTAAATAATTCATATTTTCCAATTATACAGTATACAATTATATATTGATCTATGGAACACAGAATAGGTTTTAAATAGTATATTAAATTGTAGCGTTTTCTTTATTGTACACCACACTGTTGAGAACGCTGTTAGCCGTTGTACAAGTGAAAAAAGATAAATACAGTCTAAATAGCATTTTTAGTCTGATCTTCTGATCATTTTTTTCTTCCAGAACTTTCTATTTATCAAAACAAATAACATATACATGATCACATGAAGTATCACACAACTGGTTGTGAAATTAGCAAGAACTTATCTCACAGAGATCTCGGGTAAAGAAATCGTAGAGTACCCAAACTAAAAGAAATTAGAAAATTGGATTTTAAATGATATTTCATTCTCTTGTCTTTCAGAAAAACTCACTCGATTTAATACTGTTCTACATACTATATACTTTGATTTAGAGAAATTAGTAACGATTTGAAAATGGTATTATTCGGACAACACTTATTGAGTGGATAACTTAGGACTCCACTGTATCAGTCCTCAGTTCATACTCAACTTCAGTTCATTTCAAACTTATATGATACAACATTTGTGATAAAATTCTAATTCTGTTTAGTAAGTAATGCACGGGTGTGTCATCTCAAAAGAAAAAATACCCAGACTGGATGTCTAATGTCGACTGCTGTTATAACTAGTTAAAAACGCATCACTAGGAAGGGTACGAAAGATCAGTATGAATAATTAATTGAGCAGCTCCAGAAAGGTTGAATGTGTGTCTCTCTTCCCCAGAAATACATTTCTGTTGATCTTAGAGAAGTAACCTAATATTACTGAATATCAACGGTTCCGTTGCAATCAAGTACATGCTGATAACATGCGAGTTCTAAACGGACACTTCCGCTTGTTAATGTTTTCAACGGCATACGTCAACAAATATCAAGAAATATCTCTATGGAGATGTTAGCGTCACATAAACGTAGACTCATAAACATTTGCCGTTGCGCTTCAGATTACAGACACTTTTCTTTTATGAAAAAAAATCAAGGTTTAGCCTTCCGTTAGAAAATGGAAACAAGGTCGAGCATTCTACTTAATTTCGATTTGATTTGTTTATTTTTAAAAAAGTCTGCATAAGAATACAATTAATTTATACAAACTATTTCGGGAGTTGTCATCTGGTTTACTTTTACCTTCTTTCTTTCTTCGTTTGACAGGTTTGAGAAGTGTACAGTCGATGGTATGAAAATTTTTGGATGTTCGCTCTTATCCTACTCATTCAAAAAAACGTCACCAACCATTTAGATGTGTCGTAAGAGACAAGAAAGTATAAATAATGATAATTATTCATGTATAGTCAAAGAAAGAAACAACCAAAAAAAAGCAAACACTACCGCAGAATAGCAACGTTACCCAGTTTTTGTTCTGTTCTTCATTTTTCACATCGTTTTGTGTGAGAGTGTATCGTCTTATTTTCGAACATTTATTTAATATTGACTTTTATATTTCCTCATCAAAAATCTCATCATTGTTTGAAAATACATAATTCTTTTGCGTCGGTATGTATTAAAAATTTCGTGGAAAGTTGAAATATTACATGAATAGGCGTGTCACCTGAGAATATGTTACTGACGGTCACCTTGTGAGAGTGAACTCTTTCAAAGATAAGTTTCTTAGATGACTTGCCTTCTTCACTCTGCCATCGACTACGGACAATCTGTGATTGCACCAATGTCAAGGATGAAGGTTATTGTGTAAATTTGTGTAAGTTGGAAAAGGTCCAGAGTAGAGTGGTCGGCCATTTTGAGAGCTCAAATCGTGCTATTATTAAAGTGTTTGTTTTAGTATTAGAATTCATTCAACAATGATGCCATATTTTCCCTTTTCTTCTCATGCTACGCATGTCCAACCAATTATTATTGTAACTTCAAATGAAGAAGAGGAACTAGAAGAAAACTTTGATGAGTATTTGTCAGCACTTCCACCACATTTCCGTCCCTCAATATCTTATCCTTCATATATTCCACTGTCGTCGTACTTGCCGCCACTACCACCTCCAATATTCAATGCAAGCAACGAAGGATATCCTATTGATCTAAGAAGCTTTCTTCTGGCAGCCACACAAGACCAAGTTAATACTAGCACGACTCGCACAGAACAGTCTAGACCAGTAGTTTCTGATCAGCCAACTCAGCAGTCTACATCTGAAACAGAGCCGCCATCTCTGTTTCGTTTACGCATGCATGTTGACGGTTTTCGTCCATCCGAACTCAAAGTGTCCATAAAGTATAATCGCCTCATCGTGCGCGGCAAACATATAGTTCGGGCTTCGTCAACAACAGCCACATCGGTCCCTCTCACCACAGTCTCACAGTTCAATGACCACAACGTGGATGACGATGATGACAACGAATGTGACTTTGTTTCAAAAGAGTTTAAACGTACGTTTGCCTTACCATCAAATACTGACATACGCAAAGCGAATGCCCATTATTTACCACAGGAATCGATTCTTGTTATCGAGATTCCATTTCGATCATTGAGCGATAGTTGTACGACAACACCAAGAACGCGACCGCTTGACTGTTTTTTTACCATCGTTGCTTTCCTATTATTAGATCGAGCACTGCGTCGAACGGTCGAATGCTACATAAGACAACAACAGATGGAAAACGATAATCACTTTGTCTGAGAGTGTCACAGTCGTCATCTGGACTCGAGTCGTGTGCAGCAAACACCGTTTCAATGCTGCTGTGAATTTTCCTAACCATATAACGTATTCACAGCAAGGAGATTGATCAGTGGGAATAAGAAGGTGCACTGCAGATGGGAAAAGTTTGCTGTAGTATTTTGACGATAGATGCTGGAATGATGACTCACTGCGCTATTTTCTTCTATAAAGCTCTATAGAAGGAAACAGTGCTATATTGCAGAAAGCGTTTATTGAGAAACTGTAGAAGACAAAGTGCAGCACTAATATTTTTTCACTTGAGATAAAAATAAAAGGGTTTCAATAAGATTAAAACGTACTAATTAAACAGGAATTTTTTCTCTTGCCCTAAGTAGAAAATCTCTGTTCTTCTTCAACTGACGTTGAACTTTGTGTGCGAAATATGTTATGTCATACAGATAGAATTTCTGTCTTGAGAGATAGAAGTAAATAAATACTTAGATACATCAGCATCATATTCGAATCTTTGCTGATTGATATATAGTAATGAATCAAGATGTGCTCTTGTGGCGCTTTACTGAGGTCGGGTCTTCTTTCACATATCCAACAGAAAGCCGAAAAGTTTCGGGAGAGAAGAAACTCTCCTTAATGATGAAGCATGGTTGAAGTGAGTATTGTTTATCTGCTTTATTTGAAGCAATAGCTATCAGAAATTGTTTACCATGTCACCTATGTTGTGTTTTTTGTTTTACTTCGTTCATATCAACCGGTGCTTCAACTCGTGTGTTTTCTGTCTAGATGATCCTACGTGGGTTTTGGCTATTTTTTTTTATTCTTACTCCATTCAATTTTGTAATTTATGTCATATTTAAGCATCTCTATCGTTCTATTTTCATAAGCACACGCATTTTTTATTTAATCTGTACAAACATCGTTATTTTTACATTTTTTTAATCCTTTTTCCAGAGAAGAAAAAATAAATAAAATAAATTAAAGTACTATATACCACTTCTAGTTATATCCTTTATTGAATGTAGTACCGAGTTGAAAATCTACAGTGAATCACTCTCTTGTCCTTTTCTTCTAAGATTTAAGAACTAACAAAATCTCATTAGTTAATCTCTGTCTTGCACGTAGAGAAAGCATATTTTAATTATACGATGCACAATATTAGTATATTTATAGAAAAAGACGCGATAGTCAATCAGATGATGCACTCACTCATTTTAGTAAAAATGATGATTATGATCCATGTTATGTAGCTAACAAAAATAACAACTTTTTGCTTTAAAGTCCAAATATGAATGAGCTCTTTCAAAGATCAACATGGGAAAATGATATAAATAACCGAAAACGCACATATTCTACGTCTAACTTCGTAGTAGTACTGCATAACAGTACTCCTTCACTTCCTAAACTGCTCAGTATAGTTCTCTGATTCTTGTTAAAGAATCAAAACATTATCCAGAGCATACTTCTGTCATGTCTAAATATTTTCTTATAAGTTGTTAAATTTCTGGTCATAACCGCGTAGACTTTGACCAAAACACAGAGTTTTCTAACAGTCATTGTCTGTACAAAATGCGTGTGTGTAAGCCATAAGACATAACTGTTTTAAATGATTGATTATTACACTCTTCAACTCCGTGCAATTGCATTAATTATTGACCATTTTACCTAATCAAAAAGAAATATCAAGAGGAGGAGTATGATGGAGCTCTCTTCTTGGAAAAGAAAGAAAGGAATAATCTCGATAACCCTTTTTTAAGAATTACTCCGGAGTACTCGAAGTGCATGTACTGAGAAGGAGTATTCTAAAAACTACACTTTTTTTGAAGTGCTCTGCAGTGCCTTGGCTGCACTTTGTAAAAAGGAGTGTTCCGAAGCACTCTTTTTCTGAGGAGTATTCTAGACTACTCCAAAAAAGAGTACTTTAGAGTGTTCTTAGTGTCTTTTTTCAAAAGGAGTGTGCTCCAAAAACGGAGTACACCTTCATACTCCTACTTCTAACCTGTTTTTTGGCTGGGTAGTGCTTGATCATCATAAAACATACGCGTGACAGAACGTTTTTAGTCTGGGCTAGGCAAAAAATACCTTGTGAATTTTACAGTGAGAAGAGGTTTTAAATCAGATTAAAATGGTTTTGTCTGATGACTCTATTTCAATCTTTGGAAAAATCTTTATTTTAGAAAAACGAAAAATTTCATAAGAACTCCAAATCATAAAGTGGTATTCAACTTTTTTAGAAAGAAGTGATCTTTGTATAAAGAATTTTACAGGTATTGAATGAGACAGTGATTGAAACTATTTGATTCTAATCAGAGAAAAGTAGAACTTGCGTTGAGTGCAAATTACGATGCTACTTCCTTCAGATATACGTTGATTGACCGTTTGGGGACAAAGATGTAGAAACGACAAACATGAAAATGTTGTATATCTTTAAATTCTCCATTGCAAAAAAAAAGTTTCTGTTTACCAAAACTTATTTTCAGACACTGAATATAGCCGGTGAACATGCGATATTTTTTCTTTTTACTAGAAATAGAGAAACAAAGTAAGAGTAGACAAAAAACTTTATAGAAAGATCATATGCATAATATGATAGTTGATAAGTCAAAAGAACTTTTAGACATTGTGTATGCCAATGTTCTATATGTGAGTGTATAAGACAAACACCATAAAACAAAACTGACAAAAATATTTAAAAATATTGTTAGTCATAGAGTAATCAAAAAGGATCTGAGTAGATAGAAAAAGAAAACAAGAATTAACCAATTAGAAGTAACAGGTAAGATATCCATTTTACATTTTGTTAAGGTGAAAAATAGGTCGTTACATTCAAGCTTGAATGTTAAGTGTGACTTCGATACCATCTTAGATAAAATAAACCAGGTATTCTTTTTAAGATAAAGAACATCTGCAATTTTTTCCGACTGGATATTGACTTGGTCAAGTGTGACAAAATTTTATTTTATTAATATAAACGTCCTATATCTCTTGAGCAATGTAATTTGAAGACATACGATTTTTCTCAAACGCATTAGCTCGAGTTCTAACTTACTTATAGTGGAAAGTTTTGAAAAAATATAAGTTAGAAAAAGAGGAGTGAAACTTCTTGAAATAGGTATATAATTATGCATGGAGGAATACTTTAAAGTAATCTATATAAATAATTATAATCAGGATGATATGAACAAGGAAAGTATCATCTTGCTATTATCCTAAAAAACTAAAAGTAATTTTTCATACATTGTTAAAAATATGTGTTCTTCAAAAAAACAAAAAAAAATGATCTTCATTTGTCCCCTATGGAGATCATATATGTGTTCTCCAAAGATTTGTACAACAAGAATCTTCAGTTTTCTGAAAAAACAAAATCTTTGTTCTTTAAGTTTTTTGATCCCTATAGGGGACAACTTG